GGGGAGGAGCAGCAGCAGCTGCTGGTTCTGCAGGCTTCTCCTACAAGAAAAAAAAAGTAGGTAAACATAAGTCCAAATGAAATAAACTTCCTTGGAGTTTATTTATAGATGAGATGCTGGTTGAGGTTATCCTTTAGCATTTTGTCAGGTTTTCCTGACAGTTTTGTTTGACTCCTTTTTTGCCCAGGTTAGAGAGATCTAATGTGAGGGTTAATTAACTTACTTCAAGTTAAGAACACAACACAATTTCCTGGCCATGGTGTAAACTTGGATGTCTAAACTGCTAGGAATAGGGTTCATATGAACTTCTTAATACTTATGAACTTCATAATAGACCTTGCTTGCCATAGAGTCTCTGTGGCTCAGTGGTAGAGTATCGGAGTGTGGAATCCGAAGGTCTGAGGTTTGTTTCCTCATGAGGACTCAGAATTTTTTCTTTGTCCCACACTCGTGACAAGATGAAAAACATCTTTCTCTAAACTTATTCAGTGTTTTACTTAAAAGGAAGGGAAATCTTCAGTGCTTGTGAGACCCTTACAGAGCTGTATAGGGTTTCTACGACTGGAAAAATTTTATTTCAATTTTTTGATTTCATCCTTTCAATCACTTTTAATACTTTTAGCCATCCTTGTTTCTTCTTGATGTAAGATTGATTCTTTTATTTTCCTATTTCACATGTACCTCTGGCACAACACTTTGAAGTCTGCAGTCAGTTGAAGGCAGTTTTGAATGTCAACGGAAAAGACTCTACGGCAGGGGACTGGAAGGAGGGAAAGGACGGGAAGCAAAGTGGAAATGGGAAGGAAAATGAAGGGAGAAATAGAGGAGTATCATGCAAACATTACATTCACTTACTGCAGGTGGTGCAGCTGTCTCTTCAGGCACAAAAGACTCAAATGCTGCAACATCTTCTTTCTTTTCAACAATAATACACAAAAGTTTACCAATAGGAACATCTTTGGAACCAGCAGGAATTAAAATCTTGGCAAGGAAGCCTTCCTCAGGGGTTTCAAATTCCATTGTGGCCTTGTCTGTTTCGATCTGTGCTAGCAGATCTCCTTCACCAAGTTCATCACCTTCCTGCTTGTCCCAGCTTACAATGGTTCCCATTTCCATTGTTGGTGACAAAGCTGGTAGTTTTACTTTTGTGTGAGGGGGTAGACCTACAGAAGAAAGAGGAAGGAGGGTGTAAAACTGGAATCATAAGCATAGGAAGTGGGACAGAAGTGCAGAAATACAAATGTCTGTTACGCATAGTCATAAACCTGGACTGTTTATGAGGGTCACTGAGATTTTTATCATAATTATTTTTTGTATATGAAGTGGAGGATTTTTGGGGATATGGAAGGTTTACCTTAGGAATCATCTTTCAGAATCAAGAGTTGGAAGGTTAAGCCAAAAAAAAGATGTTTTTCTCAACATCTCCACCTCATCAAATTGGGATCAAGGGGGGTTCATTATGGGAATCTTCTTTTACAATCAAGATTAGGAAAGTTTTTAGAAAACATTCCAAGATGTGTTTTTTCTCTACTTCTTATCATCACTAAAATTAGGATCAAGAGGAGTTCGCATATCAAACAAAGTTATCACAAGAACCAGTTTCCAATAACAGCCCTCCACTTATGATCTGATACAAGACCAACAGATGTTACATAATAGCTAGGCATGGGTAACGTAAACACATAAGGAACACTCAGACTCTAACAGACTCAAGAACTTTCAACTGCCGGCCAAAGTAAGAGTTTAACCGAATCCTCTCTCCTTGAGGCTGTTTCAGTTCTTTGAGAGAGAGGAAGGAAGTTGTTGAGTGTATGATCAAAACGAAATTGGGACTAGAACACATTCCCTTCCGTTTGTTTATTGCACTAGTAATAAAATGCAAATTTGATGAAGTGCATGAATTTTATCAGGTAATTAATCTTTGCGAAAGCTTACCCTCTGAGCTGAACCAGCGAAAGCCACATTTTGGTAGACTTGTGGAGAGCACGTGTCTGAAGCGTGGCACATCTCTGAAAATAAAATTGTAATATGAACTGTCTGAAACAGATGTAATGACCAATCCGGTGATCTCCGAAGAATATCGTCGGCTTGAAATCTTACTCTTAAAATGTGATATAGGTTAGATCAGACATTCTTTTCTTCTCCTTCTTTTTTTTTTCTTGCCCAAATGCTAGGGCAATAAAATCTCGGTAGCTAAATTCCATCACATTGAAGCAATAGAGATCATGTAATCAAAAACAAAGTACCATTTTACATTCTGTCCGTAGTGGGTCGAAATTGCTATACAATAGATCAAGACATTTCTCACCTCGTGGACCAAACTAACACTGTTCTTCGCTGTACCTGTGAATGTAACTCACAAATAGTTGATCGCAAAGCCACAGAACGCCCTCTGCGACCAAATATTCGAACAGCTCGCCTTGCACAAAACATCCCAAGTTCCTATCGCTCGGGGAGTCACCCCACTCTTGCAGAATCTTCGAAGCAATTAGCCCATCATGTAATGGACATGAATAGTCTAAAAGACACCCACAACCTTTAGGGGCCATCGAAGAGTATGCGCAAAGACCCCTGGGAAGCGTTTCCTGGGAAATCGAAATGGCGGTAAACAACATTGATAACACATAGTTATTACGACAAATATTTGTGGTTAATGTGTTTGAGAAAGTGAACTTAAATATGGCTGCGCAGCAAGTACAGGAGTACTTAGAAAGACACCGCATAGGAGCTTTATTTGAGGTAACGATGTACATTTTTACGCGCTTTATTCCGACCCCAATTTTTGATCAAAACTTCGAATTGAATAAATGAAAAACTGACCACAAGTGCTTACACACCTTCTAAGGGTTTGAAGAAAATAAACTAATTAGACTCCCAGTTTGTTATTTCTACTAGTTACCGCTTGTACTTAAAATCGAGCATGTCTAGGGAAACATTCAGTCTCAACATTATTCCTTATCATAATAAAAAAGCACATCGTGCATTATTTAGCTTATGCTAACTGTAGAATACAAAGATGAGAAATAGGAATGGTGTCTTGATATGTTTTTTTTCAGGTTTTTCCAAAAGAAATCGTTATTTATTATTCTTGATTTCTTTTCCGTCTTCTTGGCTAGCTTCGCATCAAAACGTACATAATTTCGCAAATTTACGTTACATCAGCTCAGCATATATTGTTCTCAAATAATTTTGGTGGAGCAGGGCGTTGAGGTCCATTTTTAAATTCAAAAGAGAGGGGGATCTGCTTGATGTGGATGAAAAGAGCGAGGCAGATTTATATTTATAATCTGTTAAGGGGTTTCCCTTGATCCCAAGCTCAACTTTTTTCTTAGTCACCATTTTTTTTTTACTTCAAATTGTGTGACATGAAACAGATGCCATAGGGTCAAAGTTGTCAACATATATATTGTAATGTTGTTTGAAAATTTTTTTACAACTTTTGTTTTAGGATCTTATGGCAAAAGTGATCAAGGATACACCTGACGATCCAGTTGGTTATCTGATTAAAGTTTTGAAAAAGTTGTATTCTGAAGGGTCTAAGGTGATAGTCATCTCAGTTTGTTCCAAAAATTTACCACATGTACCCCTTAGACATTATTCTTTAGCTGGGGAGGATTTGCACTGATGTTTTGTTAGTCTTGGTCCAGATCCCACCATGGGATTTGCAATTAACTGCTTACAGATATTTTTATTCTCATCTGCAAAACCATCCAGGTGTGTCTTGCTGTAAGAAGAATTTTGCTCATCTCTAACACTGGAATATGTCCATGGAAGTTGGGCAGATTAATTCCCAAACCTGTCAGACTGTGATTCCTTCATGGGATTATGAAAATATCTTGGGTATTCAAATAATAAACAGTTATTGAACTCTGAGGTGTGGCAAAAAATTCTTATTATACAACTTCTCAGAGATCAGTTATCATTCCCAGCCTTTGGTTTTATTGAATAATTTATCTACTTTTCACAAAAAGTCAGAATATTTTGTCAAACCTCATTCAATAATTGTTCATTTTAATGATAAAAATCTCATTTTTTCTCCAGAGACCTGGGAACACTGGACAAAAGCTAGTATTTCTAAGTCATAGGAACACAGATTGTTTGTTATCCCAGATACTTGTACATGTAAGTAATGAAATGTATCTTTGTAAACAGGGGCATGGATCATCACTACCCCCTTCAGGGTCAAAGGTATCTTTTGCAAGATCTATGGGTGTCTCAGGATCACCAGCTACACAGCATTCACTTGATGATGGTAAGCCAATTAATAATACTATGCTACGGGTTGGTAACCCTGCACATAATATACAGCTCTTCCTCTTTCTATTAATTTTTAAATTTTCCCTTGAAATTTATGAAATGTGTTCAAACAGTATGAGGTTATTTGATAGGTCAAAAAGAGGCACCTTCATTTACTCATAGATCGAAACCTGTTGGCCAAGTCTTGGGCTGGTCCAGACTCCCGCACAGATGGAACACGACCACGTCCAAGCAGTGCATCTAAAACAATGGGCAGAGATTATCCACGGCCTTGGCTGAGTGGTAGTAAGCCAATGAAGAGTGTAGGAGCAGGGGACAGAGACAACATGCGACCACCTGCTCGAACAGGTATGTACACTGAAACAAGGAAACAGTAGCTAACAGACAGCATTATGTTATGTACACTGCTTCAGTACAAGCATTGCACAATTTCAAACTGACCTGAGTTCATGAGACCTCTTGATGCTAAAAGATTTATTTTTGTTTCAGGAAGAAAGATTTTTAACTGAAAGTTTCTTTTTCACAGGCAGGGAATTGTTGCTGCCATTTGTAACTTAAACCTGCCCCACAGATAATTTTTTTTTTATTCTAAAAGTTGTCAAAATAGTTGAATTATACAGATCACTGTTTAATTCAACTATTGCTTGCTCTCCAGTCACAGGTAAAAGACTCATAAATAGCTGCTCACACTAGTTATTCGAACTTAGCAGAACTTTATAAGTGAGATCAGTCTTGAATTCTTGTATTATTTTTGTTGCAATGAAAGATGAATTTAATTTTTCATTCTCTCTATTTGTCGTGTTATTTATTTATTTTTAAATTTAGGACAAACCCAAAGTGATGGTGAGAGACCACCATGGAATCACAGGACTGCTGTACCATCGCAGGACTTTGATGAGTGGTTTAACATGCAGCATAGGCAACCCAGGACTGTTGATCAAGATGTCAGGGCATATCAAGAAAGTAGGTGACATGCAGCTTATTGCAAAGTTAGATACTTTTTAAACTCAGTTGCAGTGAAAGTGTGTAGGCCTGTTCTTTTTCTCAAATCTTGTACTGACTACAACATTTAAAACAAAGGTTCTTGGTAAAATGTTATAGATATGCATTTTTATTTGACAACGGCAATTGTCATAAGGCATTTTCATTTATTTGAATGTAAATCTCTTTCTTTATAGCTTCATCATGGGGAAGAAATGGGGAAATGGTATGTACTAGATGTAAATTATTCAATTTTACTGACTACATTAGTTTTAGTGTTGATTAAAGTAGTCTACAGTCCTGATTAGACAATTGCACCACTTTGTGTCTGTTACTCAAACGATGACTTGCCAGGTCCTATACTTGTACTTTGAATTCTCTTTTATTAAATACCCTGGCCTTGAGATGTCCAGGGTTAAATCAAAATTGTATAATTTAGTGTTAATTTTGATATTCAACATTTTCTACAAGGCCTTGATTGAGTGTAAGGTACTTTTAATGAGCAGTGTAAGTAATTCTCCCATTACTTTCATTTAGCCTGCCCCTCAACTTCCTAACTTCAATAAGCATGTTCTCCATATGCCCTCAATTCATTTCTCATGACGTTGATAGGGAGAATTTGTTTGACAATCAACAGCATCTAAGGTTGGCAATCCTTACCTTGATCTCAATGTTTGAGTCAGCGGTGACACTTTGTGTGGAAATAAGTCACTTGGCATTAAGCAATAGAGGAGGACTGAGATGTTTCCTTTTCAAAGTATTGTTTCAATTGAGTGTAATTTAATAGAGAACAAATTACCTGGTTTTTGTATGCAGGGTGTTTGAAACCTTTTCATTTCCTTTGAATTCACAGGCAGTGCCAGCAGAAAGGAGAGTAATTTACAACCGCCGGACTGCTTCATCTGGTCCAGCAAACTATGTTGATGATAATCTGGAAGATGAGCTCAATATGGGGAAGGATATAAAAACCAGAGAAGAAGAAAATGATTCATCATCTGTGGCATCATATGGGTGAGAATGAAAATGTTCAATAAATTACTTGTACATGTAATGGCTTTTTTATGATGAACACTGAGGGCCATGCAACTGCACAGTACAACCGTATTTAGACTACTGAGTACATTTTATGATATTTTTTCAGGTCTTCTAGGTCACGGAAAACAAAAGCAAGACATGCAGCTGAAGAACATCGCCGGCAGCTTCAAGCTCTTCTTGTGAACAAGAGTCAACAGGGTGGAGATGTTAATGGCATGAATGATGGTGAAGACCATCATGATGATGGCACAGAATTATTAGGTAGTTTAAAATAATGATGACATGATCAGATTGGGAAATTATTATGCATTGAAGATGTTCATTGTTGAATATTTTTTGTCTGAAGAAAATGTGGATGATCTGGAGTCTGAAGGGGTGTCAAACCTGGGCAGTAAGGGATCAAGACTATCCAAGGTAAAATTTAAGATGTAGAAAAAAAAAATTTGTAATGGGCTAAGAGAGCTTTTTAGCCAGAAGCAGCTGCAGTCATTCAGGTTACTTGACTGAAATTAAGAGCCTGACGATTTGGTTTGTTTCTTGAAGCAACTTGACATTTTTTTTTTTACTGGTAGTCCATTAGACAAGGAAATGGAACATCAGAGTCTATACGTGTTAGCATATGTGCCAGATGCGCCAAGTAAGTTAATTGATAATGAAAATTTGTTTCAACTATTTTTTACAATTATGCTGGTATGCAGTGCAAACTGGGTATGGAATTTGCCATGTTTGTGGCTATGCTTTGCACCTTGCAGTTTTTGGTTTGGTAGTTATTAGTCCAAACAGTTCTTTAAAATGCTCCTTAGCACATTGGCGAGATTAGTTCCTTTTTGTGGACCTTTTGCACATCAGCAAGATTAGATCCTGTTTTTGTAAACCTTTGTGTATGTTGGTGATGGCAATGCCTTTGGTGGCATGTTGTGAATCCTGTGAAATTAAATCAGCTGATGGCAGCCATAATGCTCATTGTTACCAGTGGTTGCAAACTCTAGGCAAACTTTGTTTATAAAATTTTATGGCAAGAAATTAGCTGACAAGTTTACACTAACTTGGCCCTTCTGGCCATATTGTTCTCTCATAGCAGTCAAAGAGCTGAACTTAGAATCAACAAGTATGGTTCAATTCATGAATTAGGTCATTGTTTTGTGTGATCTTCACTCTGGTTTTGGTTGTCCAAAGGTTGAATAACACTATCCACTGGATAAATCTCCATCCAGTGAATAGTGCAGCACATTTTGTTAACACTTATCTGCTGGTCAGTGATTTATCCGTTGGATAGAATTTTCCACACTTAGAACAGCAAGACACAGGTGTGCAACTGAATTACAAAGGCCAAGGCAATTATGATAATCACACAATAATTTATCTAAGCTACATGTATCAATAGCCTCTAACATTTGCTGAAAATAGGATATCTATTTTTGATACAGGGTTATTACTGGTCAAGCAAGTGATAAAAAGTCAGAAGGTGTGTTTGTAGATTGTGCATATATGTACCCTTTTTGTCCTAGGAAATTATTTTTGAGCAATATGTGTATTTTTACATTTCAGTTGGAAGTATTTATTCAGGAAGTGAAGGTAAACAGCTTTGGCTCTAAATTCTCTTTTCATGTGAGATGTGTTGTTTTTTATCTTGATGTGAGTGTATCATTGGTTAACAGTCAAGAACTTCTGTAGTTGGTGATCATTCCTATTATTCTCACAACCTTAATGTTTGATTCAAGGGTGATATTGTAAGGAGAAATTAGATGCTGGTCACTCTTAGGAGTCAAATGGTTATGGTTGACCTTTCATATTTTTTTTCCCTCTGATTTCATCTCAGTTGATGACAACTTTGAAAGTGTTTCTCAAGTTGGAAGTACGGTAAGTTTTTTTATTGGGTATATCTTCATCATTGTTGTCATCATTTTCATCATTATCATTATTGTTATCATTGATTACTTTCAAATTGAAGCCTTAAACCCCATCACTTTTATCTTTTTAGACTGGACAAAGAAGACCTCCTGTGTGGCCTTCAGGATTTGACTCAGAAAGTAAGACAACTCTTTTTTTACATAATTTGGGAAAAATTAAGATTTTTCTTTGCAATTTTCAAGAGAAATTGCATAGTCATTTATTTAGAAAAGCCATGTCTTTTTTTGTTCCTACCATTTATTCTTTGTTACTTATCCAGGATTTTGTGGGTTTTTCTCCTGTTGAGAGTAATTTGGGCTCCAACGGAAACCACTTCAAACTTAGCCAATGACTTAGTACATTTTACAACAGTTGTACGATAGGCATAACTTAACATTTCTTTCTTCGTCTGTCTTGCTTTGTGAAGGTGACTCGAGCCCACGGAAAGGTCAGCAGCACATGTGGCAAAGTCCAGGTAGATCTCCAGGCAGATCTCCAGTAAAGGGAAAACACATGTTTCGGTGAGTAGACTGATAAAACTCTGGCCGGTTTTACTTTCTCCTTCTCAACACCTCAGCTTTAACCTTATTTTGGCCTGTAGGTGAAATCTTAAGGTTATGACAAAGAAGAATAGTCGTGTAATTCTTTTCGGAGTGTCCAGCGTGTATTTTCACTGATGTGTTCTTTTTTAGGGGTGGTTCTTTTACCAATGAACGACCGGACAGTTCCAGGCCCCCTTCGGCTTCTTCAAGTCGTAGTGACCTGGTGTATTCGGGAAGACAACAAAAGTCTTGGAACTTTGACGGATATTCCTCTGATAATGACGTAATGCAGCATTTTTCAAGCGGTTTTTTTTCTCTTTTTTTTTTCCCATGATTTGAGCAGTCTTCTTAACATGGTTACTCACAATTTCATTCCCTGTTTTTCTCTTCAAATTTAGACCGAAGTCAATTTTGACCGAGTTGGGTCCCCTCAATTACAAGGAAGTCGTCCATGGAACCGCGCCCCACTGGAAAGCGGAAGTGAAACGGACTGGGACGCAAGACAAAGTAAGAAAGCCTTGCTTGACTTCAGACAACGATAATGTTACGTTGCGTGACCTCCAAAACCACTGCACTGTGAACAACATGACACCAATATTGAGTGATTTAGAGCACAGCTCACGAATGAAAAGTCGCGTGACCCTTTTCTTTTTCCTTGCGGTACCTCCAATTGCATCGCCAAAAGAACATTTTCCAACAAAGAGTCATAACAAGAGATATGATGTCTTTTTGAAACATTTAATTGCAGGAAGACGAACCCCAGAACGGAGATTTGCTCGGTTTAACAGCGGGGATGAGTCAGACTCAACGTAACAAAAGGTCGCGAAATGACACATGGAGACTGTCGATTATCGCTACTGGAAAGGTTCACGATATTTACCGAATCAATTTTATCCGATAGGAATTTTTTATCATATCAATATTTGCAATACTAACCAAGATACACGTATTTATTGTCTCTGTGGGTTTAGAAAAGTAAAATGTGCACTTTAGGAAGAGAATGATTTTTTTGCTGAAGGACTCACCCCTATTGTATGTTCCCCTTAAACTGGAATATTAAAGTTTATTTTATGTACATTTGATTATACTTGGCACACAAATACTATCAAAAGACAATAATACGTCTGCCTTTTCAAGCTAGTTTTATATAATAGACATGCATTTATCAAAATCGAACAAAAGCTTTTAAAATAAAGTTAGATTACCAGCATGGAGATAAATAAAATATTTACGTATAGAGTGCTTATCAAACAGTCCAGATACTGTTATGATCCTTGATTTCAACGAGATTTTCCCTTCATCCTCCGCCCAAGACTTAAGAAACTTTTATAATGGTAACATTAGGTACAAAGAGAGATTATTGAAGTGTGCACAATGTTTCGTGCGCTATTTCTTACAGCAATTGATTTTTTTCTTTTAAGCCAGGGTACAAGTAACTAACTCGTACTTGCAATTTAATTGCATGCAGCGTTGCTTTTTAAACTTGATCATTGCAATCCTCCAAAGTACCCGAAGTCTCTCGGATTGTTTTTGACCAAGTAAATGCGGCGTTACTTCGCATCAACGCGGGTTCTCAAATGTTTCGCTCCAGAACCCTTTTTTCGTTGGCTGTTCACGCGTTTGAAAACTTATTTTGCGCAGGATCAATGGTGTAAGTAACATATTCAACAAATACTCTCAGCTTCTTCCAGATCTCTTAGATATTCTTCAATCCATTCCCACACCATTTTGGCCACTTTTTCCGACGTATCCAACACGAAAGCGTGCCTGATGTCTTTATCCCGTGACAGTTTGATGTCACCATCCGGGAACCTTTCTTTCATAGCCTCATAATAATTCTGTGGAACCCAGGGATCGCCGAGCCCGTAGAAAAAAACTAGTTTGTCCAGATTGGCGCGTATGCAATCATTGTCTAATTCACGTATCGTAACGAGCTGGCGGCCAATCTCCAAAACGTTATCAACTGTACGATAATTAAGCATAGATTGCGCCGCTTCCATGATAGACTCTTTGTTTTCAACCTTGTTCAAGTACATCCACCAGTTAATGGACCACCTTTGAAGAAAGGAGGGTAAAAAAGACACCAAAACTGTTCCCATAAGGAAAGGCCAATGTAGATAGTGGCAGATAAATTTCCACATTTTCCCACTAGGTGCAGAATCCACTTGCTCAATTGTTGGAAATAGAAGGACGCATTTCAGGATTTTATCCTTGTTGTGATACCGCTTCAGCATTTCCAGAGCAATGTACGCCCCGATCGAATGGCCAATCAGAATGACTCTGCAGTGTGCAGGGATGTAGTAAGCCAAGAAGGCCAGCTTGTGCTCGATTTGGTCTGTGAGTGAGAAAGACGATGGCAAATCAGGCTGATCCCATTGTTTGCTTTTCCATCTGCATGGTCCAGTCGGTTCATCCACTGGCGCATGGCCTGAAAAGAAATGTATACACAATGGACTCGTGTTTACTCTTAACGCTTTTCGAACGAGTGTCGTAAAACCAAAACTAAAGTAATCACGTACAACGGCCAATCAAAAGAATGGAAAGAACCCCAAAGAGCCAATGAGAACTCGATGTTAAAACAAAGAGATTGTGTTAAAGCGCGGGAAAACGCTAGCAATCAAGTCGTGATCGGTATTAGCTTGGCATCTGATTGGTTACGAAAGTGGCGCAAGTGTTCTGGACCAATCATAACATTGCAATTTCCTCATTTGGTGATTGGTGCACTGACTGCTTTATTTTTCATTAATTATTTTAAAGAGTTATAATCGTGCAGTTGAAGCAGCCGATCATATTAAGTCCACCCAGCTAAATTCACCAATAACAGAATTGATCAAAATAACCATAGCGACAACCACTTATCCCAGGAAAAACTGGAGAATTTCCAAAATGGAGGAATATTTTAACTTTAGACATTGTCTCCATAGAAGACAGTTTTCTAGATGTATTTGTTTTTTCGAAAATTGTAATGGTAATTATTAATTGGTAGCAGGAATTCTTGTCGTTGAGTTCTGTGTTTACAATAATAATTCCTAGATCACCCATGAGTTCTACCGACGGATATCGACACGAAGATACTTACATGACAGTTTAATGTGTATACAAGAAATTCCTGTTTTGTCGGAATATGCATATACCTAAGCTTTCACAGTGTAATTAATATGAAATCTGTGTATAGTTTGACATCATTTGATGAATTATCAAGCAATTCCGTCTGTTTCGAAGGACAATTCCATCTTTAAATTTACACTCTTCCGAACTAATTTCTTAATACCGTCATCCAGTTTTTTTGCGGTGATAAAAAAAGTCGAATATCATCCTCACCATTTTCAGTGTCATCATACAACGATGAAATGGACATAAATTGTCGTCGAACGAGAAATCTTAAATCTTTCATTCGTTTTTGCGCCTCCACCAATTAAGAAATAACGAAATAAATCATAAACTGGTTCTAAATTTGAATCGTTCACTCACAATAGCAGCCTTTATGTTCAAGATATTATCCAGGCTCAAAATATACAACGAGAAACAAAACTGTAGAGATAATTCTGTTATTTACCTATAATACAACATTGATGAGGTTGTCGTTTTCATGGCACTTATATCAGTTAAAATCAATTCGTGTAATTGCAAGTGACATCTGACGCAAAATATAAAACAAATCCATTAAACTTCTTAACGATATATCGTGCGCTCTCAGAAAGTTTTCACGTTTCTATCACATATTTTTAAAGATGTATATCAATATTTCAGTTTTTTGTGAAGTAAATAATGAAAGTTTCATTCAGGAGGTGGTGACGGAAGTTGTTCGCATGTTGTGGCTTTTTATTTTTAAATGGATTTTTCCCTCAGATTTGAGTTTACAGCAGATGGCCGTATTTGACTCACATGTAAGTGTATATCGACGGTTACAAAGTGGACTACGCCGTCGCAGAAAGTGGATTGAAGTGAAATCTAAAAAGATTTTGCCAAGGAGGAACAGCTTTATCATTTTTGGTTGATGATTCGAAGGTTATAGAATAATTTGAGAAAAACTATTATAAACAAAACCATTGAGATCGATCAAAACATTCTCGCTTATTCGATTTGCCCAAGGCCTTTCAAGCATCATTTTCGTTGTAGCATTGTTTGTAAATTGTTGTTTGACTCCTACCTGCATGCGAAACACCGTAAACGGAATATTTTCCTTTTCCCGCTTGAAATATTGTTGAGATAAAAATATCGTAAAAACCAATACCACCTGGGTTACCAGGGATCACAACGATGCAAATATTTTCTTCTGTAGACATTGCACTGGATATTCTCGTCGCCACTCCATTGATGAGAGCAATTTCATGCTTCACAGGATTGTTATTCATCTTTCCCCCAGCGAAATGTAATTCTTTTCCTTGCAGACAATTCCGTTTTGATGTTGACAAGTATGACAACTTTAGCACACGCATGCGCTAACCACACGAGCGTACCCCAAGTTGCAGGTTATAAAATTTTAAACGGTAAACTTTTTTTGTTTAAAACAAAGGGGCACTTTTCATGAGAACTAAGCTTTTTTTCTTACGAAGTGTCCTTCTTTCTATTGTGATAACCTCCCAGTGCATTTCTTTCGCAGAAAATGTGGCAAATTTTTGTTCTAAAACATAAAATATGATTTAAATTTTCGCTTGACAGATCGCCTTGTTTTTTCGATCACGGAAACGCTCGATTTAAATATTTATAACTTTCCATTGTACACGACTATCAAAGCAAACAAATCGATCTATAGCTTGACAAAGCTAAAAAATGAATCGTAGTTCTGTGTAGCCATCAATGGCATTCGATTAAAAATGAAATTACAACAATAATTCAAACATTAAAATATAGATTTTAGACGCTTACCATGGCTGATCAATCTTTACTTACTTTCTACCCAATCGCACCACGGTGTTCTGTCGATGTAGGGAGAGTTCATAATTCTGATTCTTTTAAACAATTTCCTGGTGTTATTTCCTCTTACATTAAGCAAAAAAGAAAATATTTAAACGGAATGATTAAAACAAAATTATGGCAGTAGAACGTGCAATTTGGCTTTCTAGCTTTTCTTGACTTTTCAGCTGTTTTAGGAAGCCGAAAACCCATTTTGGATTTTATTTCATCGATAGAAATTCCTGTTGTTGTAGGAAATTGTTGTTATTCCTTATCTCTATTCAAATAGGGTCGAACAGTGTAATAAAAAATAAAGTCTTTGAAAAAATGGCACAAGCAGCACAATTTAAGGTTAATAGACCTTAACAGGATTCTCCATTCCACGCTGATAGTGATCAATCAAAATAAGACAACGTAATGATAATCAAAGGCTCTGAAAAATTAAACAGTCTTTGATTGATAAGCCTTGTCTTAAAAGCAAGCGCATCGATCATTTTCCTTCCCATCCCCTCACCCCCTGCAACTGTTTCACCTTTTTAATATAAATTGATCTTTTTTCTAGAAGTGCTGTTGAAACAAGCGTCCATTTTCGCGCGTGGAGCACGCGTAGGAGAAATATACCTTTCTTTTCCACGCGTGTCTCCTCGCTCCTCAATCTAACGACCCTCGTGCCTCTCGCTTTGCAAAATTAAAAATTTCCTCAATTGTTTAGCCTGTGACTTTCTCTGTTTCACCTGCTCTTTCCCATGATCCTTAGCTAGTATCTTGTTACTGCGCCTACGGTATAGCTCAGCGGTGAATTTCTGTGGTTACGCGACGCCATCTTACATGTTGTTGTATCGAATGCGGCTCTATTACTTCCATGGCGACGTTGTCGAGATCTAAAGGGGCGCGATCTGGTAAGTTTTTCATAGATATTTTACATGCAAGTAAAATAGAAGGCTTTTCTCATCAGAGTGTTGGGTGTTTTCTTTTGAATAGCGTCTCCACTTAGGAACAGCACGCCAGACAATCTACGTCGTTCTGGAAGCTTTGGTAAATCGAGTGGGAAAAACTTACATTTAGCTGCTTCGTTTGATTCCAAATCGAGGTGGGTAGATTTTTTAATTGCCACTGTTGCAATTTATTGCTGTGATCAAATTGGGTTTTAATTTTAATTACGTAGGCCCACTGTGGAGGAACACCGTAAGGGAATAGCGCATGCACCTTTACCAATATTCTGTGCATTCTTCAGTTGCTACAACTATCAGTAGATGTTTGCACATCTTCTTAGATCTTGAGCTATTTTCATGTGTGTGTCTAGGATTCACGCCAAAATGACTTTTTGTTTTTAGAAATATCATTATGTTGACTTGACTTGCGGCCAAAAAAAATTTAAAAAGTATTTAAATAACCTCATTACTGATATTCATGTCAGAGATATGGGAAATTCAGGCTGCCAAACTTGGCACGAAATGAATTTTAAATTTTTTCAACAAATCACCATTGGATTAAAGAAATGTAAAGCACGTTTTACTGAAGGATCTGTTTTGTATGAATTTGTATGAAAAGTCATGTTTATGTGTAATTTAAGCTACAGACAACTATCTTTAAAGTTACTCTATATTATTGTGTTTGGATTAATTAGTTAAATACTGGATCTACCATGCAAAGTAAATTAACACCTTCGATTCGATTGGTGTAATCAGTAATCAGTAATTTTAACTAGCAAACATAATAATAATAATTTAATAATTTACCAATTTATATAGCGCGTATTTACATGTGCTGATCAATAGCGCTTTACAATCATATGTTTAAAACATCTAGTGTTTATAAAAATATATAAAGTAGAAAGTGAAAAATTTCATTATGACTTTTCTTTTTTCTTTTATTAACTTATGGACCATATTTCTGTCATCTTTGATTAATCTTCTATGTTTTGAGAAAATAACTTTTTGCTAGGATTCATTGGCTTCTTTCATGTATTGTGTCCCTTAGAGAAAGCCTTTAATTCACATGACTGACCAAGACAGAATTTCTCCTTACAATATCAAAGTAATATCAAGAAGACAATTGATAAGAATCAAAAAAATTATCAACTAGGAATAATTGATTGATCCAATACCAAATTCTTGGAAATAACATGATAAGAAACACCAGAGAGAAATTACTCATGAGATCTTTGGGAGTGAAAGGGTTAACTTACTCTTGGAATTTTCTGCTCTGTTATAGCACCTAGATCTAAGTCTCATATGAGAGAAGCACAATATGTAACCTCTGAATATGAATTATGTTTTTGTTCTCTTATAGAAAACATGCAAGATCTTCCTCTTCCACAACGGAAATTGGAAACATTGAAAATGAGTACATTAGGAATCTTCAACAACAGATTTACTTCCTTGAATTGGAAGCTAACTATCTGTATCCTTTATATGACAGTGATTTAAACCTTTAGTGTGGTAATTTCACTGCTTGAATGCAGCAGAAAGGTTTCTTTAGAGGATTTTTTTTTTAAGTCTAGATTTTCTATGCCACACAATATAGAAAAAAATTGGCTTTTTATTCTGTAAGAGACTTTTCCAGAGAGAATATTTAAAATTAAATGAAAGTCTATACCTATGCATAACTAATTATTTTCTGGTGATCAGTCACCAGTTTTTCTCAGTTTTGTAAGGAAATTATTGCATAACTGAAGGGAAAAGCAGAACAAAAATCTATTTTATTCAAGTGAATTGAATTGCAATGTCTCTTTTGCTCTCTATTGTGCATAGGCTCTACATGTTAATTTGGAAGGAGAACAAAGCAGTTTTAAAAGCCACTTACAAAGGGCTTCATATCATTCATTCCTTCAATTGTTTGATTGCATCTGTTTCCTTTCCTTAACTTGTAAATACTTCTTAAGACGAGAACAAGCAAGGAAAGCTTCAGGTAATTACTGGGAATGAAGAACATTTTGTATGAGATATTTTCTTTCGTCACATGTTTTGTTTTGACCTATGATCAGGAGAGTCAGACAAAAGTACACAATTGACTTACAGGTCAAGGATAATTTTTCTTCTCATGAACCCATATTATGTCATTTTAGATGGTTCTTTAAACCTTTGTATAGGTAATGACATGATTTCATGTGCAAGTTGGTGTAAATAAGCACATTAAGTAAATTTTTCAAAGTGAAAAAAAATTGCATGAGCCCATACTGATCTCAGTAATCTCTTTTCCCCTCACTGTGTCTTAACAACATCTTCATTTGTTATTGTAAGGAGAACTTACAGGCTGGACGGGTCCAGAGTCAAAAGGGTTTCAACCTTGGTATATTATGTATTTGTATTACAGCCATTCCACCTCGCGTCACTGAGGAAGCAGATCGTATGATGCGAAAGCTACGAGATCTTCAGACTCAAGTGGATGAACGATCCTCAGATGTTGCCAGGAAAGAATCTCAAATGCACATGTTGGAGGCAGAGAAAGAATCTGCCATCAAACGCCTCAGGGATGCTGAAGGTGAGATCTACTGGTAGTATGAAATACAAGATTGTTACTTCTCCCATTTCTCTTCTGCTCCATCTTCTGAACACTTTAACTCCCAATATCTGGTTGTTCATTCTCCCCTCCAGCTGTTACACATTTCCTTGTAAATTAGTTATAAGAATTTGGTGTAAGATCAATACAACAAATTCTACCTGATAAGTTTGAACATTCTCATAACGTATTTGCTGAAAAATGTACAGGTATTTTAGGGAGAAGTTGCATGTCAATCACTATTGGGATTTAAAAGGTTAATTCAATTCCAATGAGAAGACTATTGCTCACAGTAGATGACAAAGAAATAACCTCCTCCCCCCATGCCCACACGTACACAAACCCATATACACACTCAAAGCAGCAGCACAATGCTCTTTTATCTTTTTGGACATTGCTGGGCATATGAATTTTTTGACTCTGTCTATATTTTGGAAATACATACCCCCTTCCTACCAATCAAACCAGAAACTCAGGCTGGCTTTTTTTACTAGCAGTCAGCTGAAGGCAATGTTTAACTAAATGCTTATTTTATCTCCAACTTGTGTCAACTTATCCCCAGAGTCTCACGCAGCAGAGAAGCGTCAGTTAGTGAATGAGATAGTCTCGCTGAAAAAGATGTCTGACCTACGTGAACGTGAAAGTGCAAGACGAGATGTGCAGGTACATCAGTACAAGAGTGAAGCTGATAAAGGACTGACTGCTTTACAAGAAGCAGAGAGAAAAGTGCAAAACTACAGAATAGAGGTAAGTAGAAGGTTTACCATCTCAATGGTTCTGTGTCTGTTAATCCTTTACATCCTAACATCAGTTTGCATCTTCTCCATACTGTTCTTCATACATTTCCTAAGGTGCTGACAGGGAGAATTTGTGTAACAATCATGAGCTTCTTTAGTTAGTGATCATTTCTTATATTCTCATGACCTTAATGTGTGATTCAGGGGTGATATTGTAAGGAGAAATTAGATGTTAGTCACTCTTTTGGGGTCAAAGGGTTAAAAGAGCATTTTGAACAAGTTTTGTTGAGTTATCAAGCCATCACAATGACCAATCATAGGAAAGGAGAAAATATTAAGGTAGTGATAAGACATCAAAGCAAAAAGCAGCCATTTACATGCAAACCAAAAGCCAAATAATCAAAACAGCTGATCAGCAAGCAAACTAACTGAAACATGGGAATCGTCCCTCGTTGTGCATGACACTCACCTCTTGCATTCATGGATCACCAGTTGGGTGACAAGGTGGGCTTCTGAACCCGTTCACTCCCAAGATAATTCTCCTTACTATCTGCCATACAATTCTTATGATGTTAGTTCAGAGAATTTGGTACTGGATCAACTAATAATCCCATAATTGATATTCTTCTCTATTCACATCACTTACCTGCTTGATATGGTATTAATATTGTAAGGAGAAATTTGGTTTTGGTCTCTTGTGGGAGTGAAAGAGTTAAGAAGATCTGTAGAATGCATATTATTCCATAGTCCTTCCTTTTTCTTGGATTTTCCTTAAAAGATATCATTTACTTTAATTCCTTGTTATGACTTTTTCTGGATCCACTCTATGCTGTTAATGTAAAATAATAAAAAAGAAATGGCATAGAAGGCCAAATCTTTGGGTTTTCTTTTCAGCTGAAGTTTTATAATTTGATTTTAGCTTGACCACAAGACTGAAGATTTGAACAATGTAAGAATTGAACTAGAAGAGAAGAGAGCAGAATGTTTAAAGCTTAAGACGCAGCTGCAAGAGATGGACGACAAGTTTTTTGACTCTCAAGCAAAAACAAAGGAGGAGTTAGGAAGGGCACTCAGGGTGAGGACAGACTACTGTTACTACATGAATTGCACTGTCAAGGATTGTGCAAATTGAGTTTACTCTGTTATTTTGCAGGAAGAGATACGCCAATTAAGACTACAATTAAAAGAAAAAGAAATAAATGCTGAACAGGACAGAAGCTTGAGAAACAAGGTAAAGATTTTTTAAAAATTACCTTTTGCAAGAGCCGGGCTCGATTTGTGAGCCTGAAAAGTTTTGCCTGTTGCAACCATCTTCGCTCACCTTTAGCTTGTTCAGTGGCCTCTGTAGTATTTGCTCACCCAAGTAAAGTAAAATTTTAAGGTGTTATTCATTATCACCCCGTTTCCATACCATGATAATAATTATTTTGTTTATCCATAATTGTATCGCTATGGAATAGTTCTTTGACAATACGGTTTTTTTTAGATCCAGGATGATTGCACGGCGTTAATCAAAGAAAATGCTGCTATATCTGCTCAGGTCGTAGAACTTAGAAAACAAATAGACATGGTAAGTCCCAGATTTTCAAATTTTTTTTTGAGTGATTGTGTTAAAAGCGTTGTCTGTATAGGGGATAACTTGATTTCGAGTGTAGTTTGGAGTTCATAAGCACGAGTAAATTTTTCAAAAACAACAAAACTGCACGAGCCCGTAGGGCAGGTGCAATTTGTACTCTTTGAAAAATTTACAAGTGCTTATTACACCAAATTGCAAGATAAATCATGTCGAAGTTTTGACAGCGTGCGCGCGCTATTTGTAATTTGAACTCGTGTTACAACTTTGCAATCGTGTTGCATGAGAATGCACTCGTTTTCAGCTAATGAGAAGCGCGTGATTTTTCATGTACATTATTAAGAGGTTAGGTGTATCAAAAGAACTTTCCCGCCAATACAAATAGTCACACCACATTCTATCCGCTTACTCACTATCTATCATGGAACAGATAGCGAGAGGCGTAGCCAATCAGATTGTAGAATAAGTAAACGAATAAGTAGATTTATACTAATGGTTATTGCTTGCCTTTTGTTGTTTTCACCCGATCACGCGCGATTGTGTAGCTTTTCCGCGCTTTTAACCGGTTATGAGCAATACAGATAAATTCATTAACGATCGTGATCAGCAGAATTTTGGTTTAAAAAGGAAAACAATTGTAGTAATCTTAATGTTTTTTTTTCTCTTTAGGATCGTGCTCATAAGGACGAGAAAGATTTTCGTCGACACGCAAACATCCAAGAGCTTGTGACTCTGAAAGAAAGCGAGAAACACCTACAGCATGAGCTTGAACGAATCAAGGAACTGTTAAAAATCGAACAAAAAAATCACAGGGAGACCCTTGCCAAGGTATTTTGAATTATGGCGCGCTTCGATTGCTTTTCGCGGAATCAAAACGGAAGGAATCAACATGACCAATCAAAAGAGGGAAAACACTGCAACGAGCCAATGAGAAATCGTGTCATGCAGACTTCATGAAGCGCGGGAAATGCGAGTGAAATCTTGCTCGTGATTGTTTGAGATGGTAGCGGGAGTTTTTTAAAGCAATCACAGAAAGCCAATAAAAAAAGATCATAACCAATGGATTACTTGCGTCGAGCAACGAGGTTGCCCTATCAAAGGTTTTAGGTGACTCTGTGTCCAGTTTACCCTAATACTCTTAAAATATTTTCGTGGCGTAAACCAATTTCGTTGTATCGATTTTGACTAATATTGATTTGAGTCTTCGTTTCTTCATCTATCTTTTTGTTTATACAGTTGTCAAGAGAAGAGCAAGCTTCCCTAGAAGGTAAATATTTCAAGCAAACTCTCTAACACTGCTTAAAAAATCATGAATTTTAAACCCGCGGTTTTTGTTAAAGTCGATTTAAATGAAAAATGTAAATGAAAGAAGAAATGAACAGATGACAAAAGGAATTTATTTAATAAAGCATACAGGTTTAACTCTCATGACATCTTTCCTTGCAGCGAACTTGAAGCGAACTCAACTCCGTAACGAATTAAACGAAGTGGAGGGACACCAAGACTCAACTAACTCAGAGAACGTGGCTCTAAAGAGAGATAAACTGCTCCTCGCTGACGAAGTAGCGAACTTAAACGCAAAGGTACTATATAGCGACAAAACAAGTTAATGCATGAATCATGTATCCGCGTTGAAGTATCGATTCTTACCTGCCTGCCATACCTGCGCGAAAGCTGCTGAAATTTTTCTTGGGGACCTAAACTCAGCCACTTTTTCCATATCTTTACCCACGAGTATGTCACCCTTCACTTGTGGGTGTGCACCTTTTCACTCGCGGGTATGTCACCGTTCACTCGCGGGTATGCCACTTTTCACTCGCGGGTATGTCACCGTTCACTTGCGGGTATGCCACTTTTCACTCGCGGGTATGTCACCCTTCACTCGCTTGTAGACCACGTTTCACTCGCGAGTATGTCACCGTTCACCCGCGGGTACGCCACCTTTCACTGGCGGGTATGTCACCTTTCTTTTGCGGGTATGCCACTTTTCACCCGCAGGTGTGTCCCCTTTTACTCATGGGTATGTCACTTTTCACTCTTGAGTTTATCACCTTTCACTCGTGGGTTCGTCACCTTTCACTCGCGCGTATTATATCTTCCTCTCGCGGCTGTGTCACCTTTCGCTCGCGGATTTGCCACCACTCACTTGTGGGCATGTCACCTTTCAGCAGTTCAACCGCGGATCTGCCCAAACATACCCGTAATCACTTCTTTTGCAATAAAGCATTCATTCTTGTGTCTCGTAGTCTACTGTTTTCATTTACTCATGTCAATAATGTTTTTTTTCTCACATGCTAGCTTGACGAACGTGACGAAGAAGTGGAGCGCCTCAAACTGCGACTTGAAGACTCCGAGTCGCGCTGCTCGCATATGGAATCCAAAGTTCGAATGCAACGAAGCTTGGAATCCATCAAATGGGAAGAGTTTGAGAAGCTGGCCACAACCATGAGAGAATTCTCCCGCTCGATGAGTCCATCAAAAAGTGGTAGCTTGGTGGATTACTAGACGTGTTTCCTTTTTTAACTTTTCAGTTCTTCTCGAATGCAAAACTAACCTCATTATTTGGTCTGACAGAGATTCCCTTGGTTAGGAGCTGTTATAAATTCGTCTTGGTTTTATATTCTGATAAGTTCATTCTGTAATTCCAGAGCGCTGTGGTATCTTTGCTTATTTGCAACGTTACACGGCGAGTTGCAGCAACCTTTACAGTGCCATGGACACCAAAGGCCTTAAAAGGCATCATATGCCCATCGTAAAAGGCCTTTTGCAGTTAGTGGCCTATGTGCAAGTACAAAACTCATGTTACTTGAGAGAAAATGAGGAGGAAAATTTCAGTCCGTTTGCCTTTTTGGCGTCTAAGGCGAATTTGCTTGAGAGAGAATTGCGCATTAGAGTATTCAGTTCGATAGAAAAGGAATTTAAATTCGTTTGCCGTTTTGGATACCTGGGCGCAAATTCGCCCTCCAGGAAGGTCTTTGATATCTAAGATTACTGACTGAAATGGGCCTGTTTAAACTGTAAACATTTTCATATTAGTGTATCAGCTTTGATCTGTTCTGGAGTTTTGTCAGTGAATGAGCTGACAAAGACTTTGGAAGCTCCGTTTACTGACTCAACGATCTGGTCTTCACAACGAGAAAAACGTAAGCACAAGCCAGCATATGAGCTGTGCGGTGGTGCTTTTCGTTAGAATCCTTCAGAGCAAGTGACGTTTTGATAAACACGCCTGCTCGACTCGTTTTTGAAAACCAGCCTCATGGGTTTGACTTCCGCTAGAATCTACTTCCGCTTTCGCGTAGGTTTGTCTTCCGATTCTGTTTAAGCCGACATCCGCTGGCTGTTACAAGGAAACTTCATAAGACTATCCTTAATCAGGAAATCATTAAAGAATTATATGTAGTGATAATTTTGCATTTTCCCCATTTTTTTTTTTCAAGATTTTAACTTTTTTACCTCTCTTACATTTTGGTGGATATTTCTTTTTCCTCAATACCTGTACGTTTAACAATGTCTTGACAATGTAAAGAGAAATTAATAAGGGATGAACAGAGTGTTTAGGTGTGAAAATGGTTTTAAAAAAGAACTGCATGGAACTATGAAAAAAATTATTAAGAAAACCATTTTTAATTTATTGTGATATTAATTATAACTTTCTGTTGTTTGAAAGAATCAAAAGCCAAATAAAATCATATACAGGTAAATCATTACCAAACGGGCTGTGAATTCTTGATAAACTGGCTTAATACACTTTCCAGTTTCCATGGCAGCTTTCTTGGGAAAAATAGACTCATCCATTTAAGAAATCCTTCAAAAATTTAGAATTACGAAAGTGACGGGGAAAAATTTCCGCTCATGGATGCAATCCTGTCGAGAAAGGAGCGCTTTTCTTTCTTTTTTTCTTTTTTCTTTTTTTCCCCTCGTCCGCTCCGCTGTCGCTAGCACGTTCCGGAATCGTTTTCTGCGTGTTTGTTCCTCCCTTCGCTCAACTAAGCAATAAAAGACAAGAATAAGAAAAACGAAAAAAACAAAATAAAACGGCTGTTGAAAGACTTTAATTTCCAAGGATAGACTATTTAAAGGGCTTAAAGTTTTACCGCCAATTGGGATGGACACCTAAACCAATGAAGCGAAATTAAACCATAATTTCTGCATCCTCGCATCTTTTTCGAGCTCTCAGGTCTCCGTAAATTAAGTTTGAGTTTTAAGCAAGAAAAGTCCGTTTATAAACTATCTTTCTGACTTCTTATATTAAAGACAGAAACGTGGAGAGTTCGCTCTGCTTCCCAAGTACCGCAGGATCCTCAATCCTGACCGTCAGAGAAGTCTGAAACAGGAATATTTCTTGAACTGAAAGCTATTGCTCGTACACTGAAGCTTGAAAACGGATTTACGTTCTCGTCTAAGATACTTGAATTTTTTTGAAGTGTCATACGGCGCACCACTTCGTTGAATCCTTTATGAAATTCTCTTTTACGAAGGGAATAGATAATTGGGTTACACACCGAGCTGAAGAAGTAAACGCCCGTTGTTGTTAGAATGACCTCTGCTGTAACTTTGATGTCTTTCACGAACTGACGGAAAATTCCTGTAATCCAGCCTGGAAGATAGCATAAGAGAAATGCAATGATGATTATATTGACATCGGCAGCGGCTTTCTGTTCCCTCTTCTTCCTTAATATGATCTTATTTCGTTGGTTTTGTTGTTGTCGCTTGCAATCAGAATCGTCGAAGCAACCAAGGTTGTTGGCCACAGGGTTTATCTGAAGAGTTTTTGCTGTTCGAAAGACTCTCCAGTTAAGAAAAACAATAACGAGAAAAGGTAAAAGAAAGCTGAAAATCGCGTACGAAATTATGTTTCTTTTCATGGAATCACCATGAACTGACCATCCTTGCTCGCAAAAGAACACTTCGGGGTTGTAAACGTAATTACCAAAACCAAGGAACGGACCGATGGAAAACGGAATTGGGACTATCCAGATGAGAGCCACCAACATCGTTTTGCATTTTGTCATCGTACCATCGTAAGTCAAAGGGGATTTCACAATAGCGTTGTATCGCTCATAAGAAACAGCCATTAGATGCAGAACAGAGTTGAAGTAGAAATAACGCACAAATGAAGGATTAAGGTAACACATTGTTCCTCCATACAACCATCTCTGTTGCGCTATGCTTCCGATGCGGAAAGAGTTTGCCAGAGTCAAACAGAGAATATCTGAAACTGCAAGACTTGCAAGCAAAATATACCGCATCACATGAAATCTCCTTTCCAGGACGGTCGTCACGATTACCAAAAAATTGCCTGGAATTCCGATGACGTCGAAAAGGGCGTGAAATGTTGCAACGATTTGGTGAAGAACCATGTTTGACTCCAGCGAGTTATTTCTTCAAATGAACCATCCTTAGAAGCTTCTTCCAACAACATCTTGGAGGACCTGAAATAACAACAGACACCACACAATAAGGGCAAATGAAGTACTTGACATGTTTTAGAGAGACAAATGAAACGGAAACTGAGTTACACTTTCTTAAACTCCCACATGTTAGTAGCACGTAGAATGTGAATCGTCCGGCGAAAAAGTGAAGAGAAAAAACAAACCTAACTTTTTTTTGTCCAATTTATAAGGAAAGTATAATGACTAAAAGAGGAGATGACAAGCGAAGATTTGAGGATAAATCTTTAGGATTTACCTGTAATATAATTTGAAAAGCAAAGTATCCTGCTAAATGTCTTAAAGAATCTAAACGAGTTCTCGAGATTCACATGGCTTTGAGGAGGTTCCTTTCTTTTTCTTTATCATCATTACTCTTATTCTTCTTATTATTACTATTTATTTTTTGGAAAGTTTAAGATAAACTAGAGGCAGCGACCCCAAAAACGAATCGCGAGCCCTTTTTGTTTTGCGTTTCACAAATCTTTTCTGCACGCGTTATCCACGTCGGAAAGAAGATTTGGTCTACATGCATTTGGAACAAAATTTAATCTATTCCTCACGTCAATACGTGGGTAGAAGCTGCCAGGGCCTCGAAAACTTCCCTTCATATAAAAACGTGTTAAAGATAATTTATAGTCGACGTGGCCAATGAGTCCTCAGTCCTTAGTTCAATATATCAAAGCTTTTATTTTTCTTTTCTTCGTCGATCAAGCTCCATTTAATTAAAGTTATCCATGTAAGGTGTTTATCAACAAAGAAATCAGGATTATCTTGGGAAAGAGTTTTTACCGACATGTGTTTCCTCTCTTCCTTATTCAACAACAGCAACATGCAGATGTTATTTTCTGAACTGAAAAACGACAAATGAATAAAGGGGGCAAGTTTCTAAAGAAACTGTGGTGCTGCGTCGGTGGGGAAGTATAAAAAGATAATTTGGTTTTAACAACTGAGTTGATAAAAGTAAATTGGCCACCGTAAATAGTTAAAAATAAATAGTAGATAATTTGGAAAGCTGACATTCAGAGCGTTAGCCATTCGTCAGGGCAAATATCGAAGGGCTCTGACCAAGAGCTAACGCTCAAAAAGTGAGCTTTAGAAACTTTTTACGGTGGTTTATTACATTATCTACTCAGTTTATTAGACCAAATTATCATATTAAATTTATGCTTAAAATCGCATCTTTTTCTCAGCCAATAAGACCACTTCACTAAAACACAAAAACCAATTAAATTTTAAGACTTCTTCAAAAAAAAAATCAATCAAATTGCAGGAAAAACTGTTTTTTTACAAACCAGCTCTAAGTATTTGTACAGATTACAAAAACTTGTATTTGGCAACTGGATTTCAAAATAGATGTAATAAAATGGTAATTAAACTCCGTTTTGTACAATTTGGTCTGAAATCATACCGGCTTGTCACTTAAATATTAAACATTTGTCAAAAAACTGAAGCCACTAAGTTTTCAAAAATCGATGAATTGGGGGAGATATCTCTGGAATCCCTGTCACTGATTTTTTTTGGTCATTAAATCAAATCACGTACGAGATACGAAGAGCGATGTCCTAATTGGCCAACAACCTACCGTTTGTTTGAATTTTACAAAAGCAATAAATTGCACTTTCTATTGGTTTATCGGCGTAATAACATACTTGGTACGTTGGGGGAACACGAAAAAAGTTTGAAAATTAGTCATCATGCCGGTAAAGCCTGTTATACAATAGCAAGTTTTCCAAGATAAGTTTTACGTGCTCCTGAGTGTGAACGACAAGGTATTTTGACAAGTGTTGCTTTTTTATCATTATTCGTTGTATCCAGCGTTACAATAGTACAGCCGAGTCAGAACCGAGATCACTCAGCGCCCACAACTTCTTGTCAAGTTTTCTGTGTTGACACATACATACCATCAAGTTTTGCAAAATTATAAATGAACTTTCCTTTAATTTAATATGTAATTCTCTCAGATTCTTAAGATGCATCCTTCATTTTCCGGTTCCAGGCGTTCAGTTGGTAAAACAGCGGCGCGATAGAAGTGGAGGAGTGAAAAAACGAGAGAGGCCTGAGTCGGGTTTTCACAGTTACCCCGTTGTCCAAGTAAGGATGAATTTCTAATTTCTTACTTTAGGACTTTCAGATTTCTTTCACCTAATTCATCCTTCTGATTTTATCATTCTCGTTCGAGTGCCGATTCTATGGCGTGAGCGAAATCACGAACGTGTACGCAAAATGATTATTCTTTCGTATTCTTTCTGCACAAACAAATAACAACTGTGGACAGCCTGGATAAGAGAAGAAACTGGGTCGTCGGTGGTCCTTCAAAGGTGAGAATATGACAGCATCCTCTCAATTTCAATATCAAAGCGCCATGGAGAACACCTAACAAGACCTTCGGCAAAAACTTGTGGACCGCGCATTCACGCATCCTTAGCATCCACGCCTGATTTCCAGATTTTGTGTCTGGACAGGTACCCAGTCATAAACGGTTAACTGTTCTCCGGTATATTAATTCAAGACCCCGAAAAACTGTGTTCTGTTTGGCGTCACGTTACGGTAATCCTTTCACCCCTAAGAGTGACTTGCATCTAACTTCTGCTTACCGAATAACAGGATTCTACGATTGACTAGAATTCGAAAAACGTTCTCTGAGAAAAGAGGTGTATTGTAACTAAAAAACGATAAAATTTGACGCTGGCGCGTTAAAATTTTCTGCACCCTTGAATAGAAAATTACTCTGAGTCAGTCACAATGAGAAAATTTCAGTCACCTCGAAACTCAAAAGGATGTCCCCTCCCCTCCCCCCTCCAATTGCCATTCCGTGAAGTCAAACTCCAGAAAGAATTTCATGTTATCCTTAACCTTCAAAATGCTTTTATTCTACACCCACCTTCTTTTAATATATATATATATATATATATATATATATATATATATACTGCATTTCCTCGAATAAGCGCCCACGTTATAATAAGCGCCCACCCCTCCATAAGCCATAATGTCAAACAAACGCCCCCCTCGAATGAGCGCCTCTCCCCACCCCCCTCCTTCACTTTCTTAAATAATAGGGATACAAAGAAAACCTGCTTAATTCTTTTTATAAATTTTTAAGCTTCAGGTAAAAAGGAATTAGTACTGGAAAATAATAAGCGTCTCCCTCGATTAAATGCCCTCCCTCCAATAAGCGCCCCCGCAACCACTTTTGGCCGAAATTTTAAACAGGCGCCCGGGCGCTTGTTCGAGGAAATACGATATACATGACATTGACCTAATGGAGGTTGAAAATGAATTTCCGTGCGTTCTCTACAATTCATACGTAGCTTTGTTGTTGTACGGAGTAGCTTTGATTTAAAATGATGAAAATGAACATCTTGCACTTGAGGCTTCCTGTGTCACAACAAGTTTTGTTTGAAGGCGTGAAGCAAAATTTGTCAACACTCCCCTGACCGCAAGTTTTAAAAACTATTTCAGTGGTCTTTGTGTTACTTTTTTTGCAGTTTTCGTATCGTCAATTACTTTTTCAAGGATAAAATCTCGTTTACGAGAGAGGCATTTCTAAACGAAATCTGAAATAATTACAAACGCACATCAAAACACGGGGGTTCCTCACAAGAAGCCACAGAGAATTCAATAAAAAAACAAGGAAACTTTCATAAGCGTGGGAGAAAGACAATTGACCAATCGTGATTATGTTTAGCTTTGATTCCGATTGGCTGCTGGCGCGGCGCGAATTTTATGAACCAATCACGAGCTAAGTAAAGCAAAATACTCCACAGTTTCATTTTACTTTCGACACTCAATGGCAAATTGATTTGTTTGGCACAGGTTTTCATGGCACCCACTAATTCAGGGTTTTTATCTACGTTTCCTCCGAGTCCGGAATTAAACTGATGCTTGCATCTTAAACCAAAAGTTCGATTTAAAGTCTTTGATTCTTAAGTCGATTCTTAGGTCTTTGATTCTTAAGTCGATTCCAAGTCTTGACCAGAAACCAACGAAGGAGTTTTTTGTGGGTCTTCTTAAACTTCATCAAACCGAGAAGTCCATTTAGTCTAGTGATCTATAATACAATAGGAAAACCAAAACAATAAAAACAAAATTGATGCAAACAAAATCTTGTCACTAAGCATTGGGGTTCATTTTCCAGTTAGACAACACTTTTACGTTTATTTTACCGTTTATTTTATGCTGCATGACGCAAGAAAATGGGAATGAAGTATAGAAACGCAATTTGGCGACTCTCAGTTTAAAGTACAAGTTGTTTTTATTCTTAAAATCTTGATCAATCTCGCGTTGCAGCGGAAGATGATCAACACTTCAGATGAACAATCCACTGCTTCTGAAAATTTGAATTGTTCAAAAACAATTTATTATTTTCTTTTGTAAAGTTATTTGATGATTCTGCACAGATATGACAAGCATTGAGGCAAAGATAATATAATTTTTCACCTCACTTGTTTTCGAAACGTTCCGCGTAGATCCTGCTACCAGGATGTAGTTTACTGACGTATTTTTTGGAGTTACATAAGTTACACATCATAGCGCTCGTGCCCCAAAACGTCATTGACTCTTGCAAAGTATACTTCAAGCGTTTGATTCTAAGATCAGGCATGTCTTTTCATCAAATAATCGCAGTTCTCCACGCTATTTTCAATATCGTCGGACTCCCCGGAAACGTGTTGGTGTTCATGACGATCGCGTTTGAGAGGAGATTCAATGTAATGCGATATATTTTACTCGCCAGTCTTGCAGCGTCCGATATTCTCTGTTTGATTCTTACAAACTCGTTCCGCATCGCCAGCATAGCAGAAGAAAAATGGCGCTACGGACAAACGATGTGTTACCTTAATCCGTTTTTTGTGCGATATTTCTACTTCAACACCGTTCTGCATCTGATAGCTGTTTCTTACGAAAGATACAAAGCTATAGTGAGATCCCCTTTGACCCACGATGGCACGATGACAAAATGCAAATCAGTGTTTATCGCCCTCATCTGGATAGTTCCGATTCTAGTTTCCATCGGTCCGTTCCTTGGTTTTGGCAATTACGTATACAACCCCGAAGTGTTCTTCTGCGAGCAAGGATGGTCAGTTCATGATGATTCCATAGCAAGAAACATTGCGTTGTATGTGATTGGCATGTTTCTTGTGCCTTTTCTGGTAATAGTTTTCCTAAACTGGCGAGTCTTAAAGACGGCAAACATTCTTAAAAGAAACGCTGCCGCGCCGATCCTCAACGAACGCACCGTTGGAGCGGAGATCCATCGCAAAGAAACGCTGAGGCGCATGAACGAACGGAAAGCAGCCGTCGATGTCAGCATTATTATTGCGGCGTTTCTGTTGTGCTTTTTACCCGGTTGGATTGTAGGACTTTGCCGTCAGTTCGTAAAAAATGTCAAGATTCCAGCAGAAGTTACTCTATCTACAACTTGTATCTTCTTCGTCAGCTCAGTATGCAATCCTATAATATACTCCATCCGGAAGCGAGAGTTTCGAACCAGAGTAAAGAATTTGTTTAGGCGGGTTGGGGTCGCGCCTCATGTTAGCCCTAACGAAATCAGTTGCCAAGTTGAAAGCGCAAGTCTTCCACTTCGTCGACAATCGAACGCTTTCTTCTTGAAAACAAGAAGAGGACCACTCCTAAGTTTCTCAGGTTGCCAACAGGGCTCTGATCAATTTCTTTCAATCGAGGCTGGTGTAATGTCACAGAGACCTTGCCTCAGTCCCATTCCAGAGATGGATACTGATAGCGAACTTCACTTCAGTGAGATTCCGATAGACTATCAGTTAAGAAATTGTGAGTCAGAGGTTCTGCCAAGTCAAATTCACAGTTTACACTTGGGAAGAGTGGGCTTTACAAAAGAGAATACCCTAACCTTTCTGTAGTTGTAAAATAGATCTATATTCTTGAACAAAGAGAAGTAAACTATCGAAAAACGCGTTGCATGCACTCTTAAAAGAAACTGCCTTACCTAATTTAACCTCCGCTATAACAAGATATTTTCGGAAACGTTGAAACTGAAAATCTTCCCCAGAACAAGTAAAGTAAGCAATTTGCATGACGAAAACATTTTGTATCACTTCTCTTCGCTATTAATGATAAAACAATTTCAAGGTAATTTTATACATTTCGCCTTTTGCTTGTTTTGAGTGTATTAGTGTAGAGAAACCAAAACAAAAGTACAGATTAGGGACTAGCATCACAAGGAGCCAATAGAAGTTCTAGTTAAAGACACGTGACTTGCAGAAAACGCGGCGGAAAAAAAAAACTAGTGACCAGGCCGCGATTGATGTCGAGTTTGCATCCGATTGATTGAGCTTGAGAATTTAGCGTCAATAACAGAGTAGTAGAACAAAGCTATCATTGCAATCTCCGATTACTTTCCATATTAATATTTAAAAACCACTCTCATGAGCAAGCCTCGACTGGTTTTCGTCACTGCTGCGGTATTTATTAATACATAATTCATCTTTCTCCGCCAATTTTGTGTAGCCTGGGGCCCCAAAGGATTAAGTCTGATAATCCTTAGTTTTCATAAAGGAATGAGAAACAGAGAAAGTAAGATTTCCACGTCGTGTTTTGAAATTAGGTTTCTTCCTACTCACTAACTCTTATTATGAATGTTATTCCAAGAAAAAACTCCAAAGCTTCAAATATAAGGAAGGAGTGAAACAAAGAATAGAAACACATATTTAACAATTCAGGACGCATGAGAAGGAAGAATGAATTCATTCAGTTTCTCTCAGAAACTCGCCGATATGCCCATATTCCATGTCTGTTCTTCGGACACTAACTTAGGATAGGGTGAGGGGAAGTTAAGTAGGATAATGTTTGGTAGGCAGCATGAAACAAGGATTCAGGTGAGGGCATATCGTCAACTGGCAAAATTTCACTAATTATTACTCAACACCTACGATCCTTTCCCGTCAATATCACAGTTGTTGATGATTTCACCCAAAATTGCATTTTTCTCCTTTTAGGCCGTCACCACTAATTAGCACCTCTTAATACCGCCTAAATTCACTGAGAATTCTTGAAAATACAACAGGTTATAAAATTGCTCTAACATCTTTTAGCCCGTCATGCATTAAATAAGGAAGCAAACTAAAACGAGATAATGTGCAAAGAAAACACCATTAAAGGTATTTTACCCAAGGTAATTTATAAAAATTGTAGCTATTGTCCAAGTGCTATGCACCTCCTCCTATGAAAAAACCTTTCATTTCTCACCACACTTTTGCAAGAACTCTAGACCCAGGACTTGGATATTCTACGTTTCTTACAAGAGTATCATGTTATGAATTGTGCATTGTCACCCTTTCATGACGTTCTAAATATCAATTCTCAACACTGTTTGGGATACATTTCTTACACTTTCAGAACTGAGAGTTTGGTATTTGATCAAACATTTTCCTCATCAATATTTATACCCTACATCAGCACTCTGCTAGAAAATGAATAATTATTGTTGAGAGAAATTCTTTAGGTCATCCCTGGGAATGAAATGCATAAAATTTTTAAGTGAAACAAATGTAAACATACAGAAGGAGGTGAGAATTTTAGTGACATCAGATTGTACCATTCAATCAAAGAATCAAAACCAATATCACACGATTGTGGTTTATTGTGAAAGGACCCCCAGCTTAATAGCAGCTATGCATAACAGTCTTAAGCCAACAGCACCACCTTGGCTCCAACCTACAGTACTCAAGGAATAAAAAACAATGATCCTACTAAATGTACTTGGGGAGCTTTTGAGCTCATACCTACCTAAAGACATAAGCTTCCTCCCAGCACGAGTCAGTGTATATTTTTTTTAAAGTTTATACTGGTGATTTGTTATTTTGAAGTTGAGACTATACAGAATTTCAAATCACCATTGGAATAATTGAAATTCTCCAAAAGCAAATCATTAGAGGGTTCCTTTGCCCAACTAGAAAAGAATTATTGGAATAATAGTTTATTCAGACTCTCTGGCTAGTGAAGGCAGACTTATGCATGCCCTTCTTTATGGTGCTTTGACTCCAACAACTTTCTTTCCTCCCTGAAAAACAAATAGAAATAATTTTTTTATTCAGTAGATGTTAACTTCATATCTTTTCTCTCATAATGCTTATTTTAATAAGCAATTTGAGAATTCCCCAATTATGGGATCTAAGTGCTACTGATTATCTCTTGGAAGAGGAACCTTTTCCAACCCCTTTGCTGAGGTATAGAACTTGCTATCTATAAATACAGTAAAGCACTATGTAAATCTCTTCCCACTTTAACCCTTAAACAGAATTTCTCCCTACAATATCAACCAGATAAGTGATGAGAATAAAGAAAAATATCCTTTTGAGGACAATTAGTTGATCCAATACTAAATTCTCTGAAATAATGATATAAAAACTGTATGGTTGACAGTAAGGAGAATTACAAATTTGATCTAGGAGTTAAAGGGTTAAAAGCGTATCAATATAATTTGTGATTTCATCTTCAAGAGACAATTTCAATATTCACCTGCTGTGTCATTGCACCACAATTCCTATTAAAATTTTAAGCATGATAGAATTATAGAAGTGTTACTAAGTATTGTGGCAGAACTGTAACAGCAGAGAAACAGAAACCAGGAGACAAAACAATTATTCCATTCTTGATAATTTCTTAAATAATATGCCAGTGACAGTTTAGAAAATAAATGCAAACAGCTAAAAGTACATGTGCACCAATGCATTAGCACAATCATGTCACCTTAAATAGCCAGAGTTGCATCATTTTAAATGGTTCTACTTTCTCTTGTCTTTTTTTTTTTTTTTTTTTAATTTTTAAAATCAAGTCTTACTGCCAAAAATTAAGTGTGAATTCCTTGTTCATGAAGGTAGAATGCTACAGATTTCCAATCTTTATTTTCCAATTACTACTTTCCAATCATTACAAGGGGCAAGAATGGTGGATTTAAAATTTTAAACAAGGATGTTTTTTGACCTAACTAATGCCTAAAAGTAAAAAGAAGATGCACCTCTCAGGAAGACCTTTGGCTTGCACTTCCAAACCTTGGCTTTACACATGAGGAAGTATAATTACTTCAAAAGTGATGATTTAATGTCACAGTGTTTCAAATAAGCTCCATCTTACCTTTTTAAATTCCTCGTCCTGTCGTTTCTCGTAATGGCCAAAGTCATCAAAGATTGATGTCTGGTGCTTGTAAGAATGAATGATCTTCAGTACCTGTTTTCCTTTCTCCAGTGGGACTTCCTGGGTATCCCGGGAATTGGTAACAGGCTTGTTGTCATTGTTCTCCAAGCGAATATGACGTAATGCATTGTTTGGCACATCCTTCACATAGAACCATTTCACATCAAACTTGCCTTTCCACTTGTCCTGAGTCCAAATTCCAGTTTCAATCTCCATATCGACCTCCGATGTCATCATTGCAATTCCACAGAAATGGCCACTTCCATTCACACTGAAAAGCAGATAAATTGGAGATTTACTGCCCTGCTGCTCTTTAAAAGCATCGTTCAAACGCCTGTTTCCATGCTCTGTGCTTGTCCACACGGAGTATTTGATTGAACGATGAATATCGTCCTCGCTGTAACTTTTGATAATGAAAAACCGGGCATTTTTCTGAAGCAGGCCAAATTCCTTTGGATTGTAACAATTCTTGGATCTCAATTTATCAAGAATTGGAACAGATTCAGACGAATTAACTGGTGGATTCACAGGTCCTGGATTTCCGGACATTCCTCCTGTATTGGGTCGCGGCCTTGTGCCGCGGCCAATCGCAGGCTTGTTGGGACCAGATTTTACTGCATTTCCCCATGCTCCAGATTCAACTTTAGAAGGCCCAACAGTTTGTTGTGAGGTTATTGGAGGAGGCAGTTTTGGTTTTGGTGGAGGTAACTTTGCCTTTGGCTTAGCTGGTTGGCTTGCAATAGCAGCCCAAGACTTTGGTTTAGTCTCAGAAGGAGTAACAGTTGATGAACTAGTTGCCTGAGATGACAACTTGGTTTGATCGTTCAACCCTTCATTTCCTTTGTCATCTACTCCTAGAGCCAAACTAGAAAGGGCATTTTCCACATTTCCAGCAGAACCAAACTCCTTTCCTTTCAAAGAGTCCAAATCAACTCCAATAGGATTCAAAGCTCCGTGTTCAGATGTCGGAGGTGGTGGTGGTTGGTAAAAATTTGGCAACATTGCTGCCCCCTGAGACTGTTCCCCCCATGAAATATCAGTAGATGTTCCAGGAAAATAGAGTGCTTGGGGGCCCTGAGAGTTATGGGTTAAACTGCTTAGATAAGCGTTTGTAGAAACGGCGACTCCTGCATTGTGATTGAACATCTGGTCTTGTAATAGTTGTTCTCCGTTCCCAACTGCTCCGAAACCCGATGAAGGAAACAGCGTGTTAGGATTGAGCGAAGGCACTCCAGTGGACCAAGTGCCGTCGCTGATTCCAGCAGCATTCAGATAAGGGAATGGCATCGGAGGTAATCCTGTATTGGAACCCGTTGTTGTCGTAGGATAAAATGGTGGCAGATAAGTGTCCGTTAATTGGCTCGGCAAGCTCGTGTTGACTTGTTGAGAGTTCAACTGTTTCTCGGTGCCCTAAACACGAATTTATGATTATCGTCGTAAGCCGATCCATCGGGAATGCCATGACGTTATCGAAGGGATAGAAAAAAGACATGGCAACAGTTAGTGTAGGCCCTTGAAGGAATCAAATCGTGGTTAAAGCGGAGTGGTGCGAAGAAAATACGCCTGCAAAGTAAACATCTGACAAATCTCACCTGTTTCGCTCCCGGATGGAGGTAACGATCGATATCTTCACCCGCCACATTCTGTAATTCGCCATTTTTGTTCACGTACCCTGTAAAATATTCGAAACAGCGTTAATCGATTAACTATCACGCAAACGGCTCTTTGCCGCTTAAAGCACGCAGTAAAAAGACAGTGACGTACCTTTTCCGCTGTGATCCTTGGGTCGCTGCGCACACACGAGGGAACACGCATTCAGGAATGCAGAGGAAATTAGAATCAAATTAGTCGTTGTTGCCGTTGGTCGCCAAGAAATCGACGAAAAACGAAATGATTTAAACTGAAAACATACCTGGTCGATAGTAGCTGACATTCCCTAAAAGAGTACAATAGTCTCCGATACTAAAATCTCCAAATGATGGTCACTTCGTTCCACGTCGTTTAGATTATGAGGAAAGAGAACAAAAGAAAATGGCCGCTCCTTCTGTGGTTCGTCTGCGCGTGCTTTGCGTGACTTCACCAAATTTACGCAACTTGTCAATCAAGTATTCCAAATATGGTATTTCCCATAGGCCTTTTCGGGTAGGATTCTAAACAAGATGGTGGACTAGGGTACGAGGAACCAGGAATTGAAATATTTTGTTGACAATACTTCAGCGCGATGGCATTATTACAGGTTTGTTTTGGCCATTTTTATGTTTTCAGAATCATAAACCAGGGCTCAAAAATGAAAGTTTTCGTCTTGCAGTGGCGCCGGTTCAATTTTTTCGACAAGGAGGTTCTGAAAGACCCCGGAACGACTCAGCCATTTACGGGTCTGAAGGTTGGTTCTTACAAACATAACTAGGATTTAGATGACGTTCATAAGAGTATGATTTTATTCAAATGAAACTTTTGCTCCCCATCTCTTTTTAAATCGATTCATAGCTTATGTCATCGATGAAAAAACTTCAAAATGGTTTGCAACCAGATCTTCTCCCATGCTGGGGGGTGGTGTGGGATGGGGGAGGGGGTGCCTTGCTCCATCTCACAAAAATTTGTTTAAGTTAAGTTTTTACTCTACAAATTACAGCAAATAACCAAATACTGCAAGGACATTGATTGGATGATCCCTATAAGTAGTCAAAATATTGCAGACTGACATAGATTTCATTGCAAAAGTGATTTTCTTAGTAATTTATTTTGTCCAACATGGTGCTCAGTTTTAACAGGTTTTGAAAATATGTCTGTGTTTAATTTGGAATGAGAAAGTGAAAGTCTAATGAAAAATGAAATAAGAAACTGAAAAAAGTATTTTTGGCAATTTGCACAATTTCTAAACTAGGACAAATCTTCCAGCACTTGAGTGCTACAAGACATGTTTATAATCCTGACCTACATTACAGTCAAGTGTATACCTTTCAAAGCATGTTGTATATAGAAACAAGTTTTTGATGGCCTATCCTAAAAGAGACAATTTTTACTTCTACGTTGGCAACTGTTGAAAAACAATTTCTTTTTTGTCCCATTTTTGGCCTATATTTTGTGGTCAATTCTTTTGTGAGTGTGGAAGCTGACAAGAGATTTTAATACCCATTAAGTTCAACTCTTTTATTTGGAATTTATCCCTGATACTTATAAAATCAAACCATCAATCTTGATACTATGGGTATATTAATTTTTGATGGGGGTGATGTGTTAGGGTGAGGTCATACAGCCTGTGGGGTGGGGGATGTGTGACTGTTTGGACACTGACTTGTGTTGATTTCATGGAGATCCATGAAAATGTCAATATTTGAATAGAATTCATGTTTGTGTCATATAGGATACTAGTATCACAGCATGCACAAGTGGAAGAGGCCAGCTAGTTATTGGAGGCAAGTGATCTTTATTACAGATTGAGCTCAAATTTTGCCATTATAGTTTATTTTAAAGATGCAAAAAGCATTTTAAAACATGACTTTCAAACAGAAAGTAGCTGGGGCTGTGAATAAGTTTAGAAGTAGAAGACAGTCAACGCTTTAACACCTGAGATCTTATTAGTAATCTCTTTACTGTCTGCCATACAGTTCTTTTGATGTTAGTTTGGAGAATTTGGTAATGGATCAACTAATAATTCCCTAAGTGATGTTTTCCCTTTTTCTTGTCACTTGTCTGCTTGATATTGTATTGATATTGTAAGGAGAAATTCTGTCTTGGTCACTCATGGGAGTTAAAAGGGTTAAAAAAACATAGGCTGTTAAGTACTGTGGATGCCATGTAGTTTTGTTTAATTATGCTCAAGACTGGCTAATTTAAGATTTAGGAAAAGTGATTATGTTTTTTTTTGTTTTTTTTATATAGTGCAGTGATTAAAGTATTTGGTTTTGGTATTTTGACAGATTCAGCTGGTTTTGTTCACTTCCTGGGCCGTGATTTAACCATCACATCTTTCCAGGCCTACGAAATGCGTGTGTCACATTTTTACCAACTGAAACAGCAAAATATTTTATTTACAGTTGGAGTAAGTGCTTCATACTCAGTAAAACAAATTAATTGTGTGAAATACTTCCCTTTACACCTTAACATCATTGTGTATATTCTCCTTACTCTTCTCTACACATAATTTGATAGATAGTTTATTATCAAATAAAATACATTGCAGCCATAGGCTGAATTGCGTGCTTTTCACAATCATTGATTATATAAGACTATGTAAGACTACCTATTACAAAAATGCTAAAACCTAAATAAAATTACTAATATAACTAATATAGCTAATATACAGCAGTGGAATGGCTAAAAATCTAGGTTAGCACACGCGCCCATAGCCGGTATAAATGAAAATTTGAAATGGTCAGTGCGAAAGCGCGGCATGTTAAAAACGCGCCGGTGTCTAGTATTGTAAGCTGAAAAAAGCCTATCTGGCAGCAAATTATATAATTTGTGAGATGGATTTGAGACAGACAAAAACAGATCCGTATATAATTTCATGCGTCTGTCATAGAGCGAAGCTAAACCGTGCCTGTCTAAAGAGTCATGGCATTCTAACAAGGAGAATTTATAAAACCATCAAGAGCTTCATTAGTTGCTGATCATTTCCTTTATTCTCGTGACTTAAACCTTTTATTCAGGGCTGATATTGTAAGGAGAAATTAGAATCTTGTCACTCTTAGGGATCAAAGGGTTAAGGAACCATTAAGATGTCACTGGACTACAGCTCTCTTTACAAATACAGGACAATTATTTTAAGCTTTTATCATTTCCAAGTATACTATGTATTCCTAAGACAAGCAGTGTGGTGATGGCAGTTTTGTACATCATGTCTTAATGATATTGTTGAAAGTGTCCTCATGAATTGTAATCTTTTATCTCTAAAGGAAGATGAAGTAGGAGGAATTGATCCAATTATGAGAGTTTGGAATCTAGACAAGGTTTGTTTTCTTATATTTTTAAATTACACCTTATTACTTATACTGTAGATAATTAGAGCACATGTGCACACACTTAGGTTTCTGCTTTTAACAGTTTCTCTATTAAGTTGTTTGCAAGCTCCTTTAAGAGTTTAGCAAACTCATTAAATTTTAGAGCAAGTTTTTCTAGGTAGTAAGGAAACTCCTCTAGGTTTTTCAGCAAAGATTGCTTACTTGATGGTGAACCCACCTAAATTATTGGAAAACTTGCTTCTGTTGTTAGTGAGCTCATCTTAGTTGTGAGGAGATTCATCTTAGTTGAGCTCACTTTTAGCTGTTAGCAAACTCATCCTTAGTAAGTTGTTAACAAACTGCTTGAAGTTATTAGGAAACTTATCAAAGTTGTTAGCAAACTCATCTAAGTTGTTTGAAAGTGATGATATTCCATGTTAGTGTGTGTCTTTCACTGAATCGATGTTATCAATTTATGAGAATTGTTTTTCTCTAGATTGACAAGTATGGAAATCCCGTTTGCTGTTGCATGCAGCGGCTTATTCCAGGAAACAAACCAGTTGCGGTACAATTAATTTTGTTTATGATTATTTTACATCATCTAATTTCACAAAAATTTTCATTTTCTCTACTCAGTGCTTATAATTAAAGAAGTTATAGAAATTGGTCAATTTATCCTGAACTAAATATCTTAAAACCTGGCCTGGAGTGGTATATTGAGGACTTAAGAAAGGACTTTTATTCTGAATGGCAGGTGTCTTGTTTGGCATTGATGGAAAACTTGACACAGATGGCTGTAGGATTTGCCGATGGTACTGTTCTTGTATACAAAGGAGATATCACCCGTGATAGGTGAGAAAGGAAATGTCCTTGACTTAAAAATGCACTGCAAACAATGTATGCAGTAACTCTTTTTTAGAATACTGTCCCTCTTTCATTCTGAAGGAGATTATTGTTTGTGAAAGTTAATTATTTTTTGACAGTCCCAACAGAAGTCATTATGAAAATTATTCATTACCAGTATCACACAAGTGGCCTATTTATTGCTAAAGAATTTTACTAGGTAACTTACTTTTCATTCAGAATGACAATACTTTTTTGTTTGATAAACCTGGATAGATATAAAATTTGTGATGAAGACTACTTGAGTCTTAAAGCCGATAGCATTATGATGAATAGTAATTTACAGAACTGTGCAGTAGCTGTATCTTCAACTGTAATCAACTATGCTGCTTTTATCTTTCAGCTTTCAGCCAAATTTGTCAGATCACTTACAATTCATTATCATTTTTGCTATCTCCAGCCTTGACTATTAATTTTTCTTCCTAATTAGCTGAGTGACTTACTTTGTGATTCGCTTTTATGAAGGGCAAAACATTTGAAACTTCAGCTTAAGAAACTCTTTACCCCTGTCAGTGCGGTACCGCAGTTTTGTTAGAAATTTACCTTTATTCACTAGTGATTTACTACCAATACAATATTTTGTGGTTTATTTTTTGGTTATTTTTCCGCATCAACAATAACAGCTCGAAATATCATTGCCTATTACATTCTTTATTGTTTTAAGGCACACAAAGCAGAGAATTGTTCATCATGACAAGCATCCTGTAACAGGTACAGTTAGGTTTAGTTTTCTCCTTGAAAGGGTAAAAAAAAGGTGACATTGTTACAATTAAAATGGTACAACAATCAGTAATCAAAACAAGGCTCTATCTAGAAGAATAGATACTATGTGTTTGAGGGTGGGACTAGAATTTTAATTTTAATCAGTCTTTCTTTCATTTCTTCAGTATACATGGAGTTTTTGGAATAAATATTGATGTAATTGGTATTTCAATAATCATTAAATTTTTGGTAACAAAGTTAGAAGAGAGTGTATAGCTATAATTATAGGAATTATGTCTTCTTTGTCCTGAATGAGGGTATGATGATATTTTGCTATTTTTTGTCACCCACTGTAGGGCTTGCCTTCAAACAGACAAGTGATAGTGTAATTCTGTTCGTTGTGACAACTGAAACAGTTCTGTCATACAACACTTCAGCCAAAGATCGTCGAGTGAGTATTGATTTACGTTAGAAATCTTGTGGTTGTATGACAATATGATTTCAAACTTGAGGAGTTGTCATAGAGTTTCTAACCTTGTGATGCAGATTCTTTGCATATGTTCAAACTGAGTACAGTGTACCGTCCAAGTTGACATAAAATTGAATTTTTTAAATCTCTGTTGTGGAGCTAAATCTCAGCATCCTTACAGTGATTACACGTCCTGTCTAGTATTCTTTTATCTTACAGTTGTTAAGACTTTCTCATGCATGGAGGTATTTTTGTAGCATTTTGCACATGTACTTTAAGCTCTCAAAAGTCAAGGTTTTGAACACAAGAAGGGTTGAACTTGTTTGTGCAAAGGAACTAATTTTTAGGTATGTTGCTAAGCCACAGCTGAGAAAAAGAGATTTTCTGGCCAAATTTGTCCTTGAAAATGCTGCTGTATTAGAGAGTATGCTACAGCTCACAGTTATTTGTTTTTAAAAAATAGATTTTCATCAGTAGGATTCAGTATTTTATTTCTAAACTTTATCCTCAGGAAGTACTTGATGCTCATGGTTGTGAACTCCGTTGTTCAGTTATGAGTGATGCTTCACAAGAAAACCAATTTATTGTGGCTCGAAAAGAGGTCAGCCTTGTATACTCTAACTCAGTGTACCTGCCTTTAAATAATTCTCAATGTCTATTTTGGTACCTAAATGCACTCTTGAAAATTGACTATGAAATTGGCACTGATTTTTTTTCTCAGGCTTTGTATTTTTATCAAGTTGATGGCAGAGGTCCTTGCTTAGCATTTGAAGGTATTTCTGATATGTAAACAAATTTAAAATGTACTGTTATGCACTGTTATGATCAGGAGATTCAATAAAAGCCAGTTACTGACTGTCTTTGGCCTTGTGTAAGACCTCTGACAGCAAGCAGGCTCATGATTGGGTTTTGCCTTATGGCCTCTTAAATGGACAATGCTGCCCATTATACCATCAGCATCTGCCTTTGGAAAAATTTATTGAATCCGGCTTGATATCTTCTTTATATTACAAGTAAGAATAATGTTTTCTGCCTGTATTGGATGGTTAATTGATTGGAGTAATGGCAGGTTTATGAAATTTTCATAACTTAATGGCAATCCTAATTGATATGTATGTAAAGGAAATGGAGGGTTAGGATGTAGAACTTAATGTCTGGTCTACTGGTACAGCACATGAACCTAGAAAAATCTACAGCAGAATCTGAAAATTGCAAGAGGGCTGAATTTGACTCATCGATAGAGATAGTAGTCATGCTGTGCTTGGTTTGAGAACCTCTCCTTTTTTGCAGTGGTAATAACTTCAGTCTGTCAGAAGACATTATTTTCCTAGTCAGTAGCAAAGATTTGCCTGAGAAAAGAAATCCAAGTTAGAGCTTTCTAAGCTTTCTATGGAAGTGAAGCCTATAACTTTCATTCCAAGTTCCAACTTGTGGCATAAAAATTCTGACATATCTTTATTTTTTGTGACAAAATTTTCTCACAGGGCACATTGATTTTGAATTAACTATATTCCCTTAAAGTGATAAGCATCTAATTTCTCCAAAAAGTATTACCCCTGAATCAAATGTAACGGTCATGAGAATGAAGGCAATTATCCTGAACTTGATTGTTAGACAAATTCTCCTTGTAAGTACAATAGGAAATGTATAGGGAATGGTTAGGAGAACTTGCACATTGATGAAGGGATGTAAAGGGTTAGTAAGATATAAATCTGTTTTGATGCTGTGGCAGGTGAGAAACAGATGGTAACATGGTGGCGAGGGTATCTTGTTGTGGTCAGTAAGGATAACAAACAGATTCAAAGACCAGCAGTAGGGTAAGTTAAGAAATTCATAGAAGACTGTTAAATGGCGACTTTGAATAAACTTCAGCTAGGAGACTTCGAGGATAAATGCAACTCATTACTAAAGGCAGTAATGCTAAATAGATTTTTTTAAAAAAAGTGCTGTTCATGTTTTTTGTTGATATTTTGTTTTAAATATATAATATTGGCTATGCTATTCTTTTTGGTTTGCAGAGGAAGCTCTCAACCAAGGAATGTCAATGTTGTCACTGTTTATGACATTCAAAACAAGTTTATAGGTAAGGGTTAGTGGATGCAGAGAAGAATGGAACCTTCTGATATTTGTCAAATAGTAGGAACATTGTGTGTGATTTATCACATCTTCTGTAAAGAAGAGGAGGTGATTTGTGATTTTCCTTTTTGCAGCTTTTACTGGGACATTCCAGGGTGTAATTGATGTGGTATGTGAATGGGGCAGCTTGTTTGTGATCACAATGGAAAATAAGGTAATTTCAAGTAATCTTCTCTTTTTGTATTAAATATGCCAATAATTTATGTTGATTTTGCTATGATTTATTTTTATTTCAGGCCTGATAAAAATCTGATTTATGAAAAACAATTATTGCACCCTGCAAAACACATTACTTGAAATATCTCTTGCTGGAAAATGTTAATGTATTAGAAGGTGAATTGAGAGAACCTGCTCTGATTCCAAAAGCTTTTAAAGAACTTTAGGTGCATACATGTAGTAATTCTGTAAGGTATTTCCCTTTTTTGTGGACAGATTTTTCAGTTAGAGGAGAAGGATACGCAAACAAAGCTGGAAATTCTTTTTAAGAAAAATCTTTATGCTATGGCAATCAGGTATTGTATACTTGAAAAATAAACATTGAGGTGTTTTTTAAGTATGGAAATTTTGATATGCATTGTAATGTTTTAGAAAATAATTTTTATTTTCATTTTTCTTTTGTTATTCCTTTTTTCTTTTTGTTTTCCGTTTTGTTCATTTGTCTTTTGTTTGTTTCCTTAAAGCTTGGCAAAAAGTCAGCATTATTCTGATGGACTGATTGACATCTTTACACAATATGGAGATCACTTGTACAGGTAGTGACTGCAATAGAAAATTAAACTTGTGCAATTGGGTTTTTTTTTCTCAACTGTTCAAAGATGCATTCTCTGAGAATGTTGATCCTATTAGAGTCAGTCTTAGCATTGGGCCTATATGCTAGGGTTTCCTTGTTAGTCTGTGGAATGTGGAAGGACTTCTAGTTCATTCTTTTGAGGGATTTTGTCCATTCTTTGTTCATGCAGGGAATCTAGATACAACTTGAAGTTTCTCCTTCCAATATAAATTATTCTTTATCCAGTATAAAGTTGATGTCAGTAGACAACCCTTTAAAGGGTGCTAAGTGATCATGTTGACCCTTTTGACACTCAGAGTGACCAGTAATTAGTTCCTCCTCACTTCATCACCTGTAAATCAAACACTAAGGTAGTGAGATTAAGGAAGTGATCCCCAACTAAAGGGGCCTTGTCAGCACCTTAGGAAATGTATAGAGAGCAGTGTAGAGACTATGTATAGTGATGTCAGGTTTGAAGTGTTAAGGCAAAAATCTTTAATCTAGCTGTCTGGATAATTATCAAATGTGGCTGATTATATTATAAGCATTTACTAAGTAAATACCTTTAATTAACTTACCATTAACTTAAATACCTGTATACTAAATACATGACTATCATTAAGAGAACAATTATCTCTTTTCCCTCTCTTCCAGCAAAGGGGATCATGATGGAGCAATAAAACAGTACATTAAAACCATTGGTCATCTGGAGCCTTCTTATGTCATTCGTAAGGTATTGAACATTTTACAATGTGTATAATGTTATGTTTTGAAGAAATAGTTGCTCTGAACCAGATTGTGGTGCTCTCATCTAGGCCACTGTGTTCTAACATTCAGAACCATTTGAAATTTTTAAATAGTAAAGGAAAAAGATGAGGCATAGGGTGGAAATCAGGGCAAAACTAAGTTTTAGTTCAGTTTTAATCTCACATAAAATAAAATTTAGTTTTTCAATGATTTTCATTGTTGGCTTTGCCTTTATTATGCTTCACAATGCATAGCAAATCTCTTAAAGTTAAAATTGTCTCAAGCAGGTTTCCAAACGTTCCTTGTCAATGTTAAAAGAGAAATTTATTTGAGTTGTGGAATTAAGCTCAATATTTAAATTATAAGTTTTTCATTTTTAGTTTTTGGATGCTCAGAGAATTCACAACCTTACAGCGTATCTTCAGGTTAGTGGAAGAGTCAACTGCGCGCTGGTGATGTAATCATTCTGGTGTGGGCCTTTGTGCTACTATCCTCAGTCTCAATGACAACCAGCTGGTCACAATTTCGAACCTTGAACTATTGTTACTCAAAAATGTCATATAAAAAATATTGTTGTTTTATTCATCCTTGGCTAGGCTCTCCACAAACAAGGTCTGGCCAACACAGACCATACCACCCTTCTTTTGAACTGTTACACCAAGCTGAAGGATGTCTCAATGTTGGATGAGTTTATCATGGTATGACTTAGGATCAGCAAATGAATTCTCCCATTCATACAAGTCTTATTATTGTTCTTTTGAGAATTTCTTGTCCAATCTGGATGACTCTGTATTTCCATCACATTAAGCTTGACACTACAGTGTAAGAATTTACATTCATTTCTCCTTTTTTTCCTATCAGACTGACAGGGAATTAAACTTTGATGTTGAAACTGCCATCAAGGTAAATGCTTGCACTTCTGAGCTAAAAAAATTGTGTGAGAATGGTACATTTTAAATCTTCTCAGGATCTTCATTTTTTTTCCTGCAATATTTGTTCCTAATTTTAGGTGTGTCGTCAGGCAGGATATTTCAAGCATGCGGTGTATCTAGCGGAGAAATACGAACAACACGACTTGTAAGTTTAAGGAAAAAGGATCGAATGTTTGTAACATCAGTACGCACATTCTCTGTACTGTTCTCATTTTATATCCTAAGGTACTGACAGGGAGAATTTGCTAACAATCGAGAGCCTCTTAAATAAGTCATCACTTTTAATATTCTCGTGACCTCATTGTTTGATCTCCCTCCCCACCCCTCCCTCACTGGTGGTAAATTGAGAGTTAATTTTCTATAATCCCTCCTTTAGAGTCCCTTGGCGACAACTGGTACCCCTCCCTGCCGTTCCCACTAAAAACCAAATCCAAAATCCTTCGAGCCC